AATACACCATATCAACAGAGCCAAAACAAAAATCACAGGGCCACCTCCGTAGACACAGAAAAAGCATTTGACAAAGTCCAACACCCACTCATGATAAAAACACTACAGAAAATTAAAACAGAAGGCTCATCTCAATCTGAAAAAAAATTTTAAGACAAACCATCAGGCAACATAATACTACATGGTCAAAAAGAAAAGCTTTCTATCTAAAATCAGGAACAAGACAAGGATACTGACTATTAGCACTTCAATTCAATATAGTTCTGGAAACGTTAACCAGAGCAAATAGAAAAGATTAAAAAAAAAAAAAGGAATACAGATAGAAAAGTTGAAGAAGTTAAATTGTCATTATTTGCAGGTAATATGAAACTCTACATAGAAAATCCTCAAAACCCAACTAAAAGACTTCTAGCTTTAACAACCAATTTTAGTTGAAGAGCTGGATACAGAGTCAACACAAAAATCAATAGCATTACTGTACACAACAAACTCACTGAGAAATTAGGGAATCAACACCTTCCACAACTGCATCAAAAAAATGAAATATGTAGGAATCCATCTAACGAAGGAAGTAAAAGATCTCTACATTTTAAACCACAGTACTCCAAAAAGTTTTTGCCAGCTGTTCTTCAGTCAAAGGACTAATACCTAGAATATAAAAAGAACTGAAAGAAAACCTAAACTTTCCAAATTCAAACACCCAAACCAAATATGGGCATCTGAGATCAAAAGACACTTCTCAGAAGTACAAACAGCAAATAAATATATGAAAAAATGTTCAACATTATTGGTCATTTGAGAAATGCAAATTAAAACAGCTCTTGAGATTTCATCTCACTCCAGAAAGAATGGCTGTTATCAAGAAAACAACTAATAATAAGTACTGCTAGAGCTGTGGAGAAGAAGGAACACTAAATCTGCTGGAAGATAGAATAGATAGAACTCTGCAAGACATAGGTGTAGACAAAACCTGATCACACAGGAATTATCACAAAGAATTACCAACTGGGATCTCATTGAAAAGCTTTTGCACAGCGAAAGAAATCATCAACATAGTGAAGAGAAAATGCAGAGTGGGAATAAATTTTTGCTAGCTGTTTTTTATACAAAGCACTAATATCTAGAATGTATGAAAAACTGAAAAAATTTATACTATCCAAATTCTTGAGTAGTATAAATTTACCCAATCCAAAAATGGGTGTCTGAGACGAATAGACACTTCTCACAAGTACAAACAACAAAAAAACATGACAAAATGTTCAAAACCACTGGTCATTCAAGAAATACAAATAAAATAACTCTGAGATTCCATGTCACTCCAGAACAAATGGCTATTATCAAGAAAATGACCAATAATAAGTGCTTTGGGGGCTGTGGGGAAAAGGAACACTTCTCCACTGTTGGTAGGAATGCAAGCTGCGGCAACCACTGTAGAAATCAGTGCAGAGATTCCTCAAATAACTAGGACTAGATGTTCAATTTGACCTACCTATTCTCCTTCTGGGTATCTTTCCAGAAGAATTAAAGTCATCATACCAAAGCTCATCCATGTTTATACTGGCACAGTTTGTAACAGTTAAATACTGGAAGCAACCCAAATACCCATCAACCAATGAATGGATAAAAAAGACCTGGATTTTTTAATATGTAGAGTATTACACAGTCATAAAGAAAGATAAAATTGAAACATTTATCACTAAATGGATGCACCTGGAGACCACAATCATAAGTGAAATAAATCAGACAGACGTATTTAAATATTTCATTATCACTGGTGTGAGAAACTGAAAATGTAAATAAGAAACAAAATGTACAATATTCTGCAATCTGAAAAGCTGTTGGAAAGGAAAAAGGAATTCAGGAGGGGAAAAAAAGGAAGGGAAAAGAATGAAAAAAGAAGGATCAAATAAAAACAGCCTTATGAATGGGGAAGAGAAGAGGTTTGAAAAGAGGGGATAGGAATGGTTAAAAAGAAAAGGTATCGAGCGCCGGTCTTCGGACCGGCAGCTCACTCCCTGCCTCCTAAGCCCCCGGAAGGAGGGCTTCCGGCACACGGGGAGCCACGGGCGGGGAGCACCGGTCTTCTGGCTGGCTAGCTTCCTGCCTTGTAGGCCCCCGGAGGGAGGGCCCCCAGCGCACGGGGAGCCTTGGGCGGGGAGCGCTGGTCTTTGGACCAGCGGCTCACTCCCAGCCTTGTAGGCCCCCGGAAGGAGGGCTTCCGGCACACAGGGAGCCACTGGTGGAGAGCGCCGGTCTTCTGGCTGGCAAGCTTCCTGCCTCGTAGGCCCCCAGAGGGAG